TATCTGCCTACTTTCCCATAGTGCTCCCTCATTGACCCATGTAGTTTCCTGTGAGCATGCCACTTCACTTTATAAGCAAAATCAGTCTTCACAATGACTCTATAAGCTCTCCTCACAGTCTCCACAATTTCCTTAGCAGGCCAGTGAGGCCTAGCCTTGAATACATCAAGCAACTGTTTTGCAAGCCAACTACATTTCAATTGTTTGTTCTTTTACATGTTTCTGATGCAAGTGTAGTCACCTACCACAGTTTTAACAACAAATGCAGTCCTTTTAGAATCCCAGGAAGCATAGTTACTAAAGGGACAACCCTCACTACACCTTACACCTATCCTTTGCTGCCTACTCTTCTTAGCCAACACAATGTGCAAGTTCCTGCCTTGAAACACTGCAAACTTGGCCACAGACTGCTTGTAATCCTCCCTACTTGTAAATCTTTGACCCACCCTCCACTGAAACACTGAGAAGTCTGCTTCCCCACTAACAACCCTCTTCTCTCCCTTCTTTGTTGAATGGTCTCATCTTCATCCCCACTTCCAATAGGTGTATGTATGTCTTCCCCATAATCCTCATATTCAAATTCAGGGTCACCATCCCCCTCTGCTTCAGTGTTCTCAAGCCCTGCTGATCCCACTTGTTGTGCAGTAAGCCTACCCTTATCAGCCTCAGCTTGCAGTTTATGAGCTAATTCAACTATACTACAGTTGAATCCCTTTACTCTCTCCCTGGCTACTTGTAATTCATCATCACTACTATCCACTCCATCTAATAACTCTGGATCTTGTAATTGTTCTAAGTCATTATTTTCAAAACCTCACCCAAAATTTGCTTCATAGATTCATAGTCACCTAATCAATCCTCAACAATTGGACTTCCTTGATTTACTTCATCAGCATACTAAAACAGATATTCATCATCATCTTCATCCACCCACTCATCTAACCCTATTTCATAATCAGCATCTGACTTATCCTCATCAGAACTAACACCATGCAGCAACAAATCTAAGGGAATGGGACAATAGGGTCTATTGTCCTCCCAGTAATAATCAGAAGGAACTTCAGATCTATGAAATTTTGGTGAAGGTTCAACTGTGTTTCTAGGTTCAGCTAGGGGTTTCTGTGTTTGACTGGGGTTTTCTGTTTACTGTTGTTGGTTTGGGATATTTTCACATGCTAAAGTGTTAGATGTAGAAGCAGGTTTTTTCTTTTTTTTGTCTGATGTGGGAGTAGGGACCAACACAAATATTGTCTTCCCTTCATCAGGGTGTTCAGCACATGATTCCTAAGTCAACCTAGGGGCTTTTCTTGGGGTCAATTTCTTGGGCCTTGTAGGTGGACTTGGTTGTGTTTTGGGCTTCTAATGTGTTGGGTTGTGTTTTTTGATCCAGACTGAGATACATGGACAGTGTTTAAGAATTGAAGCTCATTACCATCATGAACCAAATACAAATCCAGACATCTACTACTAAGCAAAAGTTCCCCCATTGTTCTAACCTCATCATCATTATACACACTCCTTAACTCATCAACAAAATCAAATCCAGGCATCAAGTAATAAATCTTGTACACATCAGCATAATTACCACATTTAGCTACTAATTCCTTTAAATAAAACCAACACAACTCATCAGCATCAATTGCAAAAGTCCTATGCTGCCCTCCTACATATTCCCATTCACCATTTTTCCCCTTCTTAAACAACCCCCCATGGTAAAATTTCAGACACACATTCTCCATAATTAACAAACGAATGCACGAAATTCACTAAAACTATTATATAAACCCTAATTATCACCACAAGCACAATAATTTAACTTAAATTCAACCATTCAACAAAATCGAAACTTAGGGTTTCTGAAATTACCTCGAAATTTCATGCATTCACCAAAATCGATTGAACCCAATTCACAATTATGCATATAAAGTTCCCAGCTTTGCGATTTGGGATTACCAGTTCTAATTGCGCTCTTAATTTTTTTTTAGGGGAATTCCCTTGAGTTTGTCTTTTTACCGGGAAATGTGGTGTTCGAAGAAAATTAGTTGAAGTAGAAGAGGGTTTAGGAGGGAAATGGGAAAGGTTAACCTTTCTAACAGGTAACCTGTAAAATTGTATATTAAAAGAAGATTACTTTCCAAAGTGGGTTTGTCTCGTAAAAATCAAAAGGTGGGTTTGTTATTGTCAGACCGGACAAAGGTGGGATTATTTATTTTCATTTTTCCAAAATAATTTCACTTTTGATTAAAATAAATTCAATTTAGTAAAAATAATAAATAAACAGTGAAAGCCAGCAATTTTAAGGACTATTGTTTGGTAATTAGCGGTTAGTATTGGTAAGAACTGATTACATTAGCTGATTTAACTAGCCAGTTGCATTAGCTATTTTGACTAGCTGATTGGTAAGAGCTTATTATGTAGAGTTGTTAGGTAAAATTAACTTATTAGTTGTAGTTGTTTGTTAGTTGAACACATGAAATGACAATTTAGGATATTAGTAATTTATTTTTACTTGACTAGGGTATATAAGTGAGAGGGTAAGAATGTAAATTAGAGTAACTTTTTAAGGATAAAATTATCATTTGATATCCATTGCTCAATAAGCTAATCTAAAAAGCTCTATTTTTTAGCGCTTTACAAATTAGTTGATTTGCCTTAATCAACTCATTTAAAAAGCTCTTTTACCAAACAACCAAATTAGATGATTTATGACTCTAACTTGGTCAACTAAACTCATTTTTGGTCAAAACTCTAACTATTAAACACGGTCTAAGTATAATTGAAAATCAGTAAAAATAAGTAATCAATAAAAAATAATTTTATTTCAGCAAAAATAATTTCACTTAAGCAAAAATAATTTCAATTAAGCAAAAATAAGGTAAAGAAATAAAACTTTAGTGAACTATTCCTAATATAATTAAAACCAACTTTTATTAAAAAAAATATACTAGTATAAAAAATAAAAAAATAAATAAAAAATAGACATCAATCTTAATGATCATGACGTGCACTACACAAACAAGGGGGACCCACTCATAATTCCACTCTTAAGTCCATACTCTTGAGTATTGACTTCTCTTGAATTACGTTGCACCTTCCCATACTTCATTTCAGCCTACTTTCAATAGAAGGGGTATTTTCGTCATTCCATAAATATTCTCTCTCCTCCCATCCCTCAAATCAAGGGGCAAAATTTGACCACTAGCACACCTAACTGGCAGAGCCCCTAGAATTCTGCAAGATCATAAATCCTACAAGGTCGGATTTACCCCTTCTCTTATCTTGCCACTGTAAAGTGTAAATTTTGGTCTAATCGTAGCTTGCTGGAAACTTCCTTCCCAAAAATAGAAAAGATTTCCTCCCATTTTCATTACTAAATTAGAATATCTCAATCCACCTTTTTCTTGTTTTGTGAAGGAATAATATAACAAACCACCTCTTTTTGTCTAGAACGTATCTATATTGACTATATAGTCGTATGAAAATCTTTTATGGACAAGCTTTTATTTTTGAATAATGGAAGTAAAATGAGTAAATTGTGGAGTAGAGTGAGGTGAGAAACTGATAATACAAAGTTAAGGTGTTAAAAATACAGGTTTAGATGAATTAAACAAAAATCCTACATGGATAAAAACTCCATTATTCACAGTTAAAATTAATGAGTACTTATATTTCCGAAATATTACAAACAAAAAGCCTTTTATGGGACTATAATGTTAGGATATGAATCTAACTTACTCTTTTTATTTGATGTTTGGATGAAGTATAAAAGAGATTGTGCCCCAAATATTGACGAAGAAACTATCAAGGTATGTCAAATTTTATAAATTCATTTATTTGAACTCATTTATAGTGAATTAACGAGCTCATTTTAAGTCGATCAAAATTAATGTGAATTATAAATTTATATATTGCCAACCAAACAAGTTTAGGAAAAATCTTAGAAATTTCAGTTGAAAAATCACTTTTCTTGAAATGTAATTTCCTACGAGATATAATTCCCATTGTTAACTAAACAAGGTCCTAGAGTTTATGTCCAAGAAAAAAAAGTTGGGTATTGGGAAGATATATCATGTATGAGCATTTGAACAACAATTGAATAAGGTACTATCATTAATAGTTGTAGTAGTTGGGATGAAACTTTCAAGTCAATGTATAAATTTGGTGCTGCCACTTAATGAGTTACTTTCTCGTTCTCAAATTACTTGTTCTCAAAATAGTGGATACAAATCACGCCTTTTTCTCAATTTCTCTAATATCTATATGTCTTAATTTATTATCTGTAGACAATTGTAAGCTTCCACTAGATTTCCCCTCTTGTTAAAGAATGTGTCAAAAATGAACATTGCACATAATATGGGAAAAAGGGAATGAATTAACCAATCACAAACAATTTAAAACTTGAGAAGTTACTCAACTCCATAGTTAAAAAAAACAGATAAAAACTCAGGGTTGTTTGAGTGACAAAATAAAATGGCGGAAGTGAAAATTCATGGGATTTTGTAATTTGAATAGTTATTTGGTTGACACAAAAAAGCAAAAATGTAGGAAGTAAATTACCTAGGCTCCTTGGTCATTCAAAATAATGGAAATTCCAACTTTCCATTGTCACAACTGTTCATTTGGGAAATAATTTCCCATAAAATACAACTTTCTATGGTTATTTATTTTCCGTGTCAACTAAATGAGATCTCATAATTTCCGACCTTGCTGTAATTACCACCGTAAAAACAGTAAAAAAATAAAATAAAAAAATACCCTTAGAATTGCTAGAATGACGGTCACCCAACCCACGTACGAACACCACCTCAATGAAATAACATTCTCTCTCCTCGTCATTGGTCATCCCCTTCTTTATATCACCCAAATCTAACGGCACTCATTCCTTATTCTAGACCCTTCCAATTTTCCATCTTTTTTATTTATTCCATCAAAAAAAAAAAAAAAAACAAAAACCTCTGATTAAGATTATTAACTTAAAGAAAAAACATTAAAACCCCTTTTAATTTTATTATTAAGGGTTTAACCATGGTTGAGTTAAGTAAACTAAACCTTTGAGTTTTTAGCGGTCCAGTGTTAAAAACAACTCCTGCTCTTCATTTTTGAAAGATAACGCGAAAGAGAGAGAAACTAAAAAAAATCGAAGCTCAAATTCATGATCGTTTGATTGATTTGATTCATTCAACTTTCTTGAATTTATAATTCTTTGATTCTTCTTCTTTTTTGGATTGATTGATTAATTTCTTACTTGAATTGATTTCCCAGATCTCTCTTTTATTATAAGGTCAGTTCTTTTGATTTTTTGCTGCTCCGTATTTTCTGGGATTTATAAATCTTTCATCTCAAGATTTTGACCTTGAAGATTTAATTTTTCAGCTGTGGGTTTTTCTGGGTTTTTGCTGTTTTTGTTGATTAATGTAAAAATCATGTTTTAAAATGTGGTAAAATGTTCAGGATTCAGTAGTAGTAGTTAAAGAATTATAAAGATAAGCTTTTGGATAGTTTATGTCGGGTTCGTATCGTGTTAGGGATTGCCAGCTCGGGGATTATTTAGATCTGTTAAATAAAGTGTGAAGTTTTATGTATACATTTATTTATGTATGTGTTGGAATATTTCTGGAGTGTTATGATTGATTATTGGTATATCTTTGTTTTCAGATAATCAAAGTATAGAGATCTTACTTAGTACGATGGGGATGTGAATGTAGTGATATTGCTGAAATTGAGCTAGTCAGTTTGGTGGATTGTGAAAAAAGAGGTGGATTTAGGGGTTTTGGTGGGTGATAAATTAATGATTGTGACCTTATTGTGCACCTTGAGTAGTAGTTTCCTGTTGAGGGATATAGAGTTAGGTGGTAGCTTGAGAGAGGAGAACGGGCTCTCTTTCGCGGTCACCGTGTTTGAAAGATTTGAGAGGCAATATGTCTAAGGTGGACAGCCCTGTTCAGACCCAGGCCCCTGTTGGGTTGTTTAAGAACCCATTGTTGAGGTCGGGTTCGGGTTCGGGGGAGTTCTATGGGAAAGTGTCTACCACGGGTAGGAGGAGGGTTTTTGTGCAGACGGACACAGGGTGTGTGTTGGGGATGGAGTTGGATCGGAGTGATAATGTTCATACTGTGAAGAGGAGGTTGCAGATTGCACTTAATGTTCCGACTGATGAGAGTTCTTTGACTTATGGGGATATGGTGTTGAAGAATGATCTTGATGCTATTAGGCATGATTCCCCTCTTCTTTTGACGAGGGGGAATATGCATCGGAGCTCATCCACCCCGTGTTTGTCTCCTCGAGGTGGGGATCTCCAGCAGAAGGATAAGAGTGGTCCGGTGGAGTTGTTGGGGCGGTCTGATCTGCATGAGGTTAACAAGCAGATGGTTAAGGAGATTGGCAAGGCGATTAAGAATGGTGTTGATCCAGTGCCTGTGACTGGTGGGCTTGGAGGTGCTTACTACTTTAGGAACATTAGAGGGGAGAGTGTTGCTATTGTGAAGCCCACTGATGAAGAGCCTTTTGCGCCAAACAATCCAAAAGGGTTTGTAGGCAGGGCTCTTGGGCAACCAGGTCTGAAGCGATCTGTCCGGGTTGGGGAGACAGGCATAAGGGAAGTAGCGGCGTATCTTCTTGATGCCCAGAATTTTGCAAGTGTACCTGCTACGGCTTTGGTGAAGATCACTCATTCTATCTTTAATGTCAATGATGGGGTGAATGGTAACAAACCTCACAAGAAGAAACTGGTCAGTAAGATCGCTTCTTGCCAGCAATATATCCCACATGATTTTGATGCCAGTGACCATGGAACCTCAAGCTTTCCCGTCTCATCTGTGCATAGGATTGGGATATTGGACATTAGGATTTTTAACACCGACAGGCATGCTGGCAACCTCCTTGTTAGAAAGCTTGATGGTGTGGGGAGATTTGGTCAAGTCGAGCTCATTCCCATTGACCATGGTCTTTGTCTGCCTGAAACTTTGGAGGATCCATACTTTGAATGGATTCACTGGCCACAGTCTTCTATCCCATTTTCTGAGGATGAGCTTGCATATATTGAGGGCCTTAATCCAGAAAAAGATTGTGAGATGCTTCGCGCTGAGCTTCCAATGATCCGTGAGGCATGCCTTCGTGTCTTGGTGCTCTGCACCATTTTCCTCAAAGAAGCTGCAGCCTTTGGCCTGTGTCTTGCCGAGATAGGTGAGATGATGAGTAGGGAATTCCGTAGTGGAGAGGAGGAACCTAGTGAACTTGAGCTTGTGTGCATTGAAGCGAGGAGACTGGTGGAAGAGAGGGAGTTGTTTGTGCCGGAGTCTGAAGCTGGTGAAGATGACTTTCTGTTTGACATTGATTGTGAGGACCCTGAGTGGGACTGTACTCCTAAGATGGGAAATGGAGAGGATTATTTCATCAGATCACCAGTCTTTGGTGTGAATGGTAGAAACCCTCTCTCAAAGCTGGAGGAAAGTCCGGAGGAGGAAGAGGAAAGTGAAGATGGTGACAATGATGGGGAGGTGGATGCGGAGGGGAATGGTTTTGCGGTATTTCCTGGTCCTCAAAAATTCCCATCTATGTCAATGATATCAATGTCCCTCAAGAATACTTGTTTAGCGGAAAAGAGTCAGAAATTTCCTGGGGCGAAAGCAGAGAATGGCTATTCGTCATCTGGTCATAGGAGTGCAAATGAGCAGCTCCCTGCTAGTGCTAGTTTTGTGAAGGTTGCTGACATGAACGAAGAGGAGTGGACACTCTTTCTTGAGAAGTTCCAAGAGCTGCTGCGCCCAGCATTTGCTGAGCGGAAGGCTGTGACCCTCGGGCAGAGGCAGAGACTGAGGCTCGGGACTTCGTGCCAGTTTTGAGATAGAGATACTTACAGCTATATGAGAGGGCTTAGCCAGTTGAGATAATAAGGATTTGTAGGTGTTGCGAGAGTGGAGGAGGATTGATAGGATTTATTAGGTCAGGGACACTTCCCAGGAAGTAGTGGTGGGTTGTGGCCTTGGGAGGGCAGCAGCAGTTTGGAAGTGCTGTAAATATTCTTTGAAGGCGGCAATGCTTCGGCGAAGTGGCTGTCTTAGTAGGATTTGTTTGTATTTTTTTGTTCTCTTCTTAGAAAGCCTTGAAGCTTTTGGTTTTAGATTTTTCTTTCACTCTTTGTGGGCTTGTTTGATAAATAATTTTGTAGAAAATGAGAAATCCGTCAAAAAAAGAACCAAAAAAAACAGAAAAAAAGAAAAAAAAAAAAAAGAAAAAGAAAATAGAAACTAATGTATATACCACTGAGACTGTTGTTTCTTGTGAAATTCCTCCATTCCACTTATTACCCTCTTTTTGCATCTCTGTAATTTTTGTACTTCTTTCTTTAATAACTTGTGGAAGTGTGATTACCTTACATACTGGTCCAGAGCTACTGTGCTGATTGCTGATTGTATGTTACGGTATTCATTATTCAATGGCGACATGATACGTACTGATCGGAGGTGATTGTAGAGCAAGTTTATTTTCTGACCGTCTTCTGTTTCTCTAGCTGATTTCAGCAGCTATAATATCAACAGAAACTTTGATAGACTGATAACTGAAGTTTTCTGTATGATTGAAGACTTGAATTCCATTGTTGACTTTTTTCTGATCACGGCATGTTGGTTACCGGTCATTTGGAAAATTTGACAGTTACAGGGCTTCTGGTTGAGCTGCTGAGGCAACTTGGAAAGGGTGTTCATCCTACACCCGAGTGTATACTTGTGCATGATACATCTTCACCCCTCCGTGTGCCACCTACAGGCGGGAAAACGATCATCTGATGTAGTTTAGCGATATAAAAACATTCCCTTTCAGCTAGTGTCATCAAGACCTGGCTGTAACCCACTGTTTTTTAAGGGTCACCATCATATATGCAATTACAATTCTATATGTAACAACTTACTTTTCTGCGGATGTGGATAAATGGCTTTTTCCTTATCCCATCCCTTCGCATTTTATGTCAATAATATTATTTTAATTTTGACGAAAACGACGTTTGCCATGTTCATTACATGTCTTTATGTCACGGTGGTTTAGATTTCACCAAACAGATGAACAATATAAATTCATAATTAAAAAACAAGGTTGGTATTTGCTGACATTATAAGCAAGAAAATCATATTTCCTCCGTTCTATTAATATTGCAACAAGGATGAAATTACGCATCTTAAACCACATTTTATATGCTAAATATCTATAATTGTGTAAGAGTAAAAATTATAAAAAATTGATATTGTGACAGTATTTTATGAGACGAATCCAACAAGATCCCATATGACGATATTTTGCTTAACGTATAAATTATATTATATGGCCAAACAAGAGTAATGAATAGTGTAAAAAAGTCATTGTTGCAATATTAATAGAACGGAGGAAGTATGAAGCTAACAACAAATCCAAATTTGGCCTTTCAGAATTCTTTGGCGCAGCCAATTTAGTGCTATATAGCTATATTTATAAATTATAATGCCTTTTCTAGTATTATTATTAGTTTATATGCCCCTTGATTTTGCATAAAATCTGTGGACCAAATAATGAGGGATTGTTCTGTTGAAAGTGTACCAATTCAGGTGGGGTTGTTTATTTTCTCTCTAACTAGGGTATGATGAAATTGCTGCTGATGATGCAAACTTTGTAATTCATTTTATTTTATAATCTAATTTTGGTAGCTCTTATCTTAGTATTGAATATTGATCACATCATTATTGGTTCTTAGCTCATGGTTTTCAGCACTATATAGCGGTTGAATCAACCAGGGAACTCTATAGTCGCGACTTATTGATTTGCTTGTGTTATAATATCACAAACAGATTTTATCGTCTTCATGTATTTGTATTGTTATTCGTACGAATTGTTGAGATGCAAATTCTTTTGATCAAGGAGTTCATTAGCTTCAACATTGCGAGTTTTAGATACTAATGATTTTGGATTAGGAAAGAAAGTGTCCAAGAAAAACATGCGTGCATTTTACCTTCCTTTGGTATCATTTTCTTGGAGTTATCCACATTAGAAAAAAACATCTTGGTGATTTCATTACAAGGCCCCTCTAATAAACCATCATGATCAAATGATATAATTTAAGAGTTGATTTTTCAATGGTGGTGACATATTATTATAGGTTAACTCTTTGAATTTTTATTTTAGACGAGTCCAAATAGTGGGCTTTTCAGTAAATCAAACAAAGTTTTAGGTGAGTTTTTATCTTATACAAGTACGGATTTAATATTTATTGACAAACAGGTAACCTTAAATTTATCATATTACTAGGTTAGTTCTCATGTCATGCACGGTAATTTTCAATAATCATTATTAAACTATCATTATTAGTATTTATAAACAATTCTAAAAATATAGTTGACAAATTTTGATCAAAATAAAAGATTATGAAAATTTTTGTTATATATAATGATGAAAATTATGTTAAGAATTTTTTATAGCTATATAAATATTTGTGTTAAAGATATGTCAAATCTTTTTTATTTTAAATAATATTGTATAAAGATTAGGAATTTTTTTATTTTTTTTAAAAAAAAAGCAAATTAGGGAATTATTTTTGTATAAGATTTATTATTTTAATATACTTTTATTCACCAAAAAAAAAACTAAAGATAAGCCAGGAGATGACACGTATAATTACTGATGTGTGTTTTAGTATATAGTTATTGATTGATGATTGATTGATTGGTTATCAAAAGTGAATTAAATGAGATTAGGCCCCTTTTCTCTTTCATAAATAAAAACTTTATCAAAGACTATGATCAATAACCAGTAAGGGTGCATTCTCTTTAACAAGAGTGAGTTTTTTTTTATTTTTTTATTTTTTTATTTTTTTAACCTCAATATTTAGCTAAACTAATTCAAACATATCTAGCACACTTTATGAATTTGTGAGCATATATGAACTTAATTAACTAATTATTTCGTCTAACTTATCTGATTCGAGCATACTTCATATTATTTTGTTTTAAATTATCAACATTTTTGTTCTAAAATAAGTGAAAAGAAGTGTTTAAAATATAGAGAACTTAAAAAGTCAAAGAGCCAAAACCATTGATAATTAAAGTTTTTCAATTATTCACGTGATAGTAAATTCTTGTATGAGACGGTATCACAATAACTTATTATGAGATTAGAGTAACTACCTACTTTAAAACGACTTTATGTGTCAATCTTACCGAAGACTACTCAAAACAGTCTAACATGACATGCAACACTAAACAAAGGAACTAGTGGAAATACAAAAAGTACTCATGTCATGTAATATTTGTGTAAGGTTATCTTGAACAAGATAAACATGTATATTTGGTGAAGGTCTTGATTTAGGAGGCAGATTCCCATCTACCCATCATCATCAAAGAAGGGTGAAGATGAAGGTGCAATGAAAGTGCATAATTTGAGAGAAAAACATGCAAGTAGTATTAAAAATTATTTATTTTGGTAAGATGGACCCTCACCAAGAACGTGGCAACCTAATCTTTGTACATGTTTGTTTTATTGTGTCAATTGTATGTATATATGCAAGTTGTAGCTTGGAGTAGGGCCGGGGGCCCGGAAGAATTGCACTTTATTGAAAAATTGGGATTCAAGATAAAATTATGGGTTAATTTACAAAGCTAAATACTGGACCATGGTCTTGTCTAATTGTCTAATTGGACACTTTTAATGTTCTCTTTCAAATCAAATTTAAAGTGTGTCAAAAAGTCATCATCTTAGGTTCTTATGATTAGTACAGTACAATAGTATTTTACAAAATTACAACTCATTTTTAGGGTTTAGCCAATGTTTAAATGATGATCGTCCATGTTAGAATAAAGACAATATGTCGATATTCCTCGTGTCTCATAAGATTGTCCCGTATTTCTATGTGAATGTACTGTATTGTTGTTTTTTTACTCATCCTTTCAGTGGTATAGTTTTTCATCTTAACAATATACGTGCATGTACAAAAAATGAAAGATAAAATTCATATGCTTTTAAATGAACCAACTCTTAAATAAAGGAAAATTTTCAGGACTATCTTATTAATCAAGCAGCGTGGGTACCTTGAAGAGCAAACGATCGGTCTAACAGCATACTTGATTGGGTTGGGCACTAGTAGAGGATGCGATAGACATCCCTTTGGTGGTGGACCAAATGTGATCATTTTCATTACTTGAACTAAAATAGTGATCCCATTTGAGTCCATATCAACGATGACTCACTTGTAAGTTTCAAATATATGTTGAAGAAATTTGTTAATTTTAGCTTAGGAAGAAGGATTATTATAAATAAGAAGATAATGCAAATATAATTATCATTGAATGGTATGTGATTTTTGAAGTTTGGAAGAAGCGTTTGATGTTTACCTTCAAAGTTCCAAGGGTTATGACAAGCAAAACCCCTGATAAAATAGCTGTTTTTTGACAACAATTATATCATAATTATTTTGCTATTTCATGCACATCAACAATGGACAATGGAGACTAATTTTAATTTATATTCAATTTTTTTTTTTTTTTTTTTTTTTTTTTGTATGAGTACAATATAACTTAAATTTCATGAATTTCATTATAACTCATCTTGAATCATGAATTTCATGTAAATATCTTTACCTTGTTATTTATCAATTCCACATCAAAGAAAATGAAATATTAGAAATATACGTTGAAACTATTCCAACAATATTTTATATAATAACTTTTTTTTTTTAATTTTTTTTAATATTACTAATAGAACATAGTATATAAAATTATGCATAATTGCATAAATCAAACTATAACAATTTTTATAAGACGGGAGAAACACATCCTAAACATTTACAAAATTAGTCATTGTTTATGTTTTGATATATAACTAATTTCCGATGCATTTTTGTACCCTAAAAAAACGTTATATGACACTCTTTGGAAGGCCTTATTATGATTGACTAGTCATACGCACATAAGAAAAGTCAGTGTTGAAAATTCTTTTCTTGTCTTTAGTTAGTTAAAAGTAACATCTATTAACATAGTCACACAGTCTACTAATGATGTAATTAAGGAATTTTACCTACTTAATTATTGTCCAACTTTAGAAAGATGAAAAAAGGACCGCAAAGCAAAAGCATGCTAATAAAGTAGTATTATGCATGAATGAATGTATTAAAAGATGTACCTACCTACAACTCTACAAGGTTACAACTGGATTATAGATAGTTAAGTTAGAAAAAAAAATCATAAAAAATGGAAAGAATTAGATCAAAGTTTAAGGAAGAGGAGAATAGTTTGAGTTAGGACTTAGGATATCTATCAATTCAATATTCCTTCTTAAAAGTAAAGTGGAAAACATATTAGTTGGTAATTGTCATAGATTCTTTTTTATTTTTTATTTTTTTTAGGTGTGCTTAATTATTGAAAGGGGGGAGAGTAGAAGTGGATGGTAATTAGTAGGAAATGGGATAATATACAATGATTGCTCTAAAGTTGTATTAGGAGTAAATATTTCTTCCATTATTCTTTTAATGAAAAATTGTCATTAATAATATAATCTTTGGCCCGTTTTTTTTTTTAAATAATACAACTTTTGAATTATACTTGAATATTACAACCTTTGGGGGTCTCTATTTTAAACAAGACAAAAAAACTTGTAATCGGTTAAACAAGTTGTCTATGACACATGTCTTCATATAATTGGTCTAAATTAATATTTTATTTATTTTTTAATAAATAAATATTTTTAATTAAAAAAGAAAAAAGAAAACCCTCAAGCCCTAACCAGCAGCCCCTTTCCCCGGCGACCCTCTTCCCCGTAGAACACCCAACCCCTTCCCCAAGCGACCACCTCCCTGTTGAATGTCTTCATATAATTGGTCTAAATTAACAATTTTTTTTAGGGGAGGGATGGCTTTTCAGGGGGTTGGGGGGAAGGGGGAGGGATGGTTTTTCGGGGTTGCTGGAGAAGGGGATAGGCGATTTTCGGGGTGATTTTCGCGGCTGCTGGAGAAGGGTGGTTTCCGCGGCTGTTTGGAATGTGGATTGCTAAACATCGCCCGCAAATCTCCACATAAAGCCCGCAAACTTATATTGAAGTTACAATATTGCCCTTGACCTTAAAAAAAAAAACACAACCTAAAAAAAAATCAAAGTACGGGGATGTCGAGACGGCAAGGCAAAGAGTTGGCGGCGGCTGCGGAGGAGGGAGGGTTGGCTCGTGGCGGCAAGGTGGTGGTGGCGCCAGGTCCGGCAGCCACGTCCACCGGCCTGGCGTCTGGGCAGGACGCCCAGCCACGGTAAGTGGCGTTTGGGACAGGCGCCAGTCACTGTGGCTGGGCGTCCTGCCCAGACGCCAGGCCGGTGGACGTGGCTGCCGGACCTGGCGCCACCACCAGCCATCGGCCGTCCTGGCCAGGCGCCCCACCACTAGCCGTGGTTGTTTTGTTATTTTTTTTTTTTTTTTTGTTTTTTTGTATAATATTTTTTTTGTTGGAATTTGAGATTTTTTTTTTTCTATTTTTGTGTAATATCATTTTTTTTTTGTTGGAAATTGATAATTTTTTTTTTTTTGTGTAATATTGTGTTTTTTTTTTTGTTGGAAATTGAGAAAAAAAAATTTCTTTTTTTTTTTAATATTTTGTTTTTTTTTGTTGGTAACTGAGAAAATTTTTTATTTTGAATTTTAAGCAAGTCAAATGTAAAAAAAAAAAAAAAAAAATTGGCCGGACCACCACCCTGGTACCGGCGCCTGGCCGGGACGCCGCCACCATGGCGGTGGCGCCTAGCCAGGACGCCTGTACCATGGTTGAGGCTTCCAGGCCAGGCGCCTTGACCATGGTACTGGCGTCCCGGCTAGGCGCCACCGCCATGGTGGCGGCGTCCCGGCCAGGCGCTTGTGACACGGTGGTGGCGGCTCCTCCGGACGCCAGCCGTCTTTTCCGATGACATTTGTCGTCCCCCGGATCTCCGGCCTCCCCGTACGACTCCACATTTTTCGGTGAGTGAAATTTTCGTTTTCAGAGAAAATTGACAAAGGGGAAAAACTATCAAATCATATTAATTTTGTGGGCTTTATGTAGTAATTTGTGGGCGAAGTTTAACTAATCCCGTTTGGAATAGGCGATTTTTGGTGGTGGGGCTGGGGTTAAGGGTTAGTGTCATGGATAACCTGTTTAATAGGTTACCAACCGGTTATGTCTTAAAATTAACACTCCCTAATCAAAAGGTTGTATTATTAAAAAAAAACAGGCCAAAGGTTGAATTATTTTTGACAATTTTTCCTTCTATTTTAAAGATTTTTCTTGTAAAAAAAAAAAAAAAAGATTTTTCTTACTTAAGCATCAAAAACTTAAGTAGTGGGCCGTTTGGTCATTTATTTGGGCCGTGAGCGTGATGGGAATGGGCTTTAAAAATTTTGGGTTTCGTTTGTGTAAATTTTGAATAAAAGGCAGTAGATTACTAGATTTTACTATTTATATTATCCATGTCAAAAATCAATGCCCTTGACTATAAGTCATATATGTCACTACGGATCATCATAAGATTCATAACTTATGGGGTCAATTCAGATATGGAGTTTTTGTTGACTTTTGCTCTACACAAAAGTTTGCTAGTTGGGAAAACATAATGCTATGATTTGTTATTTTCTAGCCCATTGGGCTTAATAATAATCTGCGTTTATGATTTTATAAAACGCATGGGAAATGGAAGAAGAGGAGAGATCGGACATTTTGACCTCTTTGAGCTACCTCAAACATCATATTGTACTTCCTCCGTTTTCTAATACTTATAACAACACTTTCCTAAATAGAAATGTCATAATACTTGCAACACACTAGAGTTGGTTAGTTTTTGTTGTTGTTGAAAGTTGTACTATAATCCTTATTTTGATCTCATAGCCCACTAAATTATACTAATAACAATCTCTCATCCCCATTTTAAATGTATTAAATGAGGCTTGCTTTTCTTAAATACCGTAAAAAAAAAAAAAAAAAAAAAAAAGAAAAAAAGAAAGAAGTGTGTGTTGGAAGTCGTAGATATTTTTGCATTGTTCACATTACTTTGACACGTTCTTTCAGTTTATAACTTTATATAATGAAAAGCCTTAATTTTATTTAAAAAATTGTTAGATTTTATCTCATTATAAATTTTTAAAATATTAACATTTTACATATCAATAATAAAAGGTATTATTGGTTAAAGGCATGCACTCACAAAGTCACAAGCTCACAATTTCATCATAAACGTGAAAATAAAAACGTTACAACTATTAAAAACGAATAAAGTAATTTACAAACTCTAATCAATGTGAAACTGTTTACAAAGTACAGTATGTTACAATATGCCAAGAAGATAGAAAATACAAGTGGGCTTGGGCTTAAATGGTTCTACAATTGGGTGGATTTACATGATGTACTCCCCCCGTTCTTTTATTGAGAGTCTATTTGGGGTTTTTCACGGGAATTAAGAAATTTAATGATTGGAAGTACAAATATGCATGTGGTATTGGAGAGAGATAGATAGAAAAAGTGGTTAAAAATTATTGATGAGAGGGAGAGAGAAAGTATTGGGAATTGATGTCAAAAAAAAAAAAAAAAAAAAAAAAAAAAAAAAAAAAGAGTAATGTTGTCAAAAAGTACAACATTTAAATGGAAATAGGCTCTTAATTTTGATTACCTCAAAATAGAATACACACTCTTAGTAAAAGGACAGAGGGAGTATAACTGAACATTTGTACTGCATGTGAATTCCGACATGGCTTGGGTTTGTCTAGACTCTAAAATTGATCAAGCATTTGTAAATCATCACTAGCTTATTATATACCCATGGCTTCTTGCCTTCTTCAATCAAATCATCAGCAGAATCATCACGATTTTGAAAACTAACAACAAAACGTTTAAATCAACTTTTGCGGTTTTCAATTTATTTAATTTTAAATTTTAAAAGAAAAAAAAAATAGACGAACGAGTACTAGATATAGTTTTTTTTGGTGTTCCACTCGGTTCACCGAACCTTTGAACGAATCTGGATTCGAGGATCAGTTCTGTGTGATTAGGTTCTAATCTCTTTCCAATTGTTATTGCGGGGATTTGAACACGCGGTTCTCTACCAAGTGTAGCCCCAATCACCACTACAACAACAATCAATTAGTACGAGTACTAGATATAGTAAAATTCTCATTCCCATCCTACACTTCCAACGTACCAAATCGTAAGGTAAATCTCAATATACTTATCAATTCTACGGAACGAAAGAACATTCTATTGTTCTTTATTTATCAAAAAACTTACTCCCTCAGATTAGTACAATTCTATTCAAAATAGGAAATCTGCCTTATAACAAAAAAGCATATTCCCTCAGATTCCCGCGCATTTTATTTATCGTTAATCACCTAATTACTTTCCTATAAATCCGTCAAAATTTAGCCCTTGGATTCAATTGTCACACATAATCCAACGATCCTCAGTATATGAAAAGATCCTACGGTACATTCTTTGAAGAACCCTTTAAAACTATAAATACCTCTCCAATTAACTTCTAGGGCATCACACAAAAAACAAATATCAATTCATCAAAGTTTCTTATTCTTTTCTAAGTAATTTTCTTGAGCAATGGAAGGATTAATGGTCGTTTTCGACTTCGATAAAACGATTATCGATTGTGATAGTGATGAATGGGTTGTTACTGAGTTAGGTTTTACACCACTCTTCAATAAACTACTACTCGTAGATACCATGCCTTTTAACACTATAATGGTTAGTATTTTTATTTAGGTTTAATTTAAATGTGTTTTGATCTATTTTCTTGGTTTTATTATATAGTTGACGCAGTTTACATATATTTTATTGATCATAACAGGATACATTGATGAAAGAAATGCATAAACAAGGAATTACAATTGATGATATTGTACAAGTCTTGAAACGAGTTCCGATTCATCCCCGTGTTGTTCCCGCGATCATATCTGCCCATGCTGCTGGGTATTTGAAACTATTCTTGTTTATGTCATCCGGAATTAATAGTCACGTTTGATATTTGATTGATACATTATAGTGTTAATAATTGAATTAGTGACATGACAACTAAATCTTGACCATGATAGTGTATTAATCGAGTTTTCTAGGTATTAATTAGGATACTTAGCTTAATTGTGATGACTAAATTAAATCTTGATCATTGTAGTACATTAACTAGGTGGTCTAGGTATTAATAAGAATTCTTGGGAGTTTATTTTTTCAGGTGTGATCTGAGGATTGTAAGTGACGCAAATACTTTCTTCATCGAGACCGTACTTGATCATCTTGGAGTAAAGGATTATTTCTCAGAGATTAACACGAATCCGGGTTATGTTGATCAAGAAGGGAGATTAAGGATATTACCGTTACATGATTTCACTAAATCTCCTCATGGATGTAGCAACCCTTGTCCTCCAAACATGTGCAAGGTAAATATATATACAAGTATTTTGTAATTTGTACCCATATATTATTTAATTTATGTTATCAAACCTTAATATATAAATTAATTACATGTTATGAATATTCATGTCTAATTTTATGTTATTGTTCAAAAAATTGTAGGGTTTAGTGATCAAAAGGTTACTACGTGAGCAAGAATCCAAGAAAATCATTTACTTAGGAGATGGTCTCGGAGATTATTGTCCTTCTTTAATGCTAAGAGAAAATGACCATGTTATGCCAAGGAAGAACTTTCCTGTTTATGACTTGATCTCAAGAAACCCAAACCTTATCAAGGCCAAGATCCATGAATGGGAAGACGGCCGTGATCTCGAACGAGTCCTATTGTCTATCATCCAAGGTATCATCTCTATTAGAGATGATAGTAATGTTGCTCAATTTTTTAACCATGAGATCTTGCCTGTTACTACTTCCCATCAAGCCTTGCCTCAGGCTCCCCGTATTCCTGTTTAGAAATTGGAAAGAATAGCTATTTTGTAATTTTTGTTTGATTGATCTTATAATAGGTTTATGTTGCTCAATTTAAGAATTGTATTAGTGATTGAAGATGTCTTTCGATATTATATATGACATACGTAGAACATGTTCTTGTCTTATTATGTTACAAGTCTAGTTCAAAATAGTTAATTATATATGTCGGATAGTTGGGTAGGCTTTATTAAGGTCGTGTATATAAGTTAGTTGAAAGACCGATATGACATTACTTTTTCTAGACTCATCCAGCTTGCTTAAGCATGAGGCACGCTGACATGTGGACGGTCTAACCCACCCGTGCCTAGCTCTAACTGGCCTGGAGTATATGGAGAGATATTTTGTTTATATCTTGTTACACTAACAAACGACAATATGCTATATGCATATATGCCTAAGATTTAACAATGATTGGCAAACAACTACCAATGATTGGCACAGCGGAACAACGCGTGAGAGAAGAATCGTACGTAGTCCTATTGGAATTGATCCACTACAATATAATTTGTTTTATAGATATTTTAAGAATATTATACATTAGTTTTCCACTCGTAAAAAAAAGGTTGGAGTTTGCATGCAGCTACTAGACTTAACTTGATTGATTAATTTTCCTCAAAAAAAAAAAAAAAAAAAAAAAAAAAAAAAAACTTGATTGATTAATGTTGACAATATATTTGTGATATAGTTTTTGGATTGTGTTAGTAGACTAGTATGTAGTAATAGTTGTTAGGAGTCGTCCAATGCAAATCCATTAATAATATTAGTTGGTCTTAGAAGTTTGCTAAATTATTCGCGACTTGCTGCTAGGACTGCTACTATTACCTTCTTATATGTATTATTATGCACAAACATCGTAACGGTTGACATAAAATTGCCTAAAACAGAAAGAAGTTCATAGAAAGTCGAAAATTGTAGGATCATATCGTTTGGTTGGCAAAACGAATAATTAATTAGGAGCATCCTATACGGAACGAAGTTTTAAGTAACACTAAGAAAATATATATAGCTAGAAATAAACATTAACACATGTATATTTCATATCTATACTATAAAAAAATTGATATTTTACACATCATGATGAATTAAATAATTAAACAGAATATCACATTAGTATGTTTTTCCTTAGATAAAAGTAATTAAATATTGGATTATTTGAATATGAATCTATAAAGGTTTCAATTAGGAACAACAAAGAAAGTGCCAAACTTGAATTCAATAGCTAGTCATTTTTAGATTTATTGAACTTTATTTAGGGACGTTTTTTTTTCTAATTTGAATTTGATTAAGGTTTTTCTAGATAGAACCAAACTTTAACTTAATTGTATTCCATACATAGTGAATGTGAATTAACTTAGTTGGTTAACCTTTTGAAGGTGATATTTAAGACCTAGGATATTGGATCAAATTTCTTCAACATCATATCACTGCCTTTTGTGGCTATCTCAGCACTAAAAAAAACCTGTACTCCATACGTAACAAATGAATATATTCCCTAGCTAGGCCAAGGATCCATATCTTTTTTTTGAAACAAACCAATTCATTTGTAAAAAGCCAGCATCTACAATAAAAATCTAAATTAACAAATACATAAAATTGAATCAAATAAGGGTTTCCTTTATCAAAGCTACTATCGTTCAATAAATCTTGCACTGTATGTGGTACATCTCTCGTACATATCACTAGAGTATACAACCTTTTCGGAGAGACAGTCTAACGAATTGTTGTAGCCATAAGGATGATTTTCATCTGATTCACTTGAACGTATTTGAAAATTTGACAACTGTTGCAATCCCGAACAAAACTTTACCAACAAACTGATAATAGAGCAAAAGATAATTACCTTTTTGATAAACTCTAGCACAAAAAAAAAACCCTAAACAAAAACAAACAACTAATAACTCCATCATAAGGAGACACTCTACCATAGGAAGATGGCCGAACATCTACACTGCATTGATCAACACATAAGTACATAACACACAATTTTATCACACATCCCCATATTAATACCAATTAGAGAAATATATGAAATGTTTATATAATAAAAAGAAGATTGAATTAGTATTTGGAGGTTTACAAAAAACACACAGTCCTCCCATTTTTCCATGTAACAGAAATATCTTAATCTCTTTGCTCTCGAAAATTTGTGCATGTATATAAAATTACAATAAAACTTACATAGTTAAATAAAAATCCCTCTCTTTAAAAAATTAAATACATATATATACAGATACAACTTAAACATGCCTCCAAGGATTTTCAGCAAGGCTAACACATTCATTATACCTAAAACAATCAATCAAATGATCGATGGTCATCCCAGCTGCTTGGATGAACGACTGAGTGATGACCGGTCCGACTAGCCGGAACCCTCGACGTACAAGATCCTTGCTTATGACTTCAGCTTTTGGAGTCCTTAATGGCACATTCCTTGGATATCTGTACTTGTTAATTATTGGTCTATAGTTGAAATATCCCCATATATAGCTGCAAAATGATCCATACTCCTTCATTACCTGCATAAATATTCAATTACATTGCATGAAATTAATTAGAAATTTGCATTTGAATAATTGTTGACATCAACATAAATCATATATTCCTATACCTCTTACGTAATCTAGACTTATTAATAGACAAAATTTATGTTAATTAACAAATTAAATAATAATGAGTACATCATATACATACATGAATCATATTATGAAAAATGTTGGTTAGTTTTAAAATTCATATATACCAATTGTTTTGAAGATAATGTAACTTTAACATATTTTTTCACCTAGAGGTCACAAAAAGTATAACTACGTGATTATCATTTTAGGACAGAGCGAGTATACATGCGTATTATTTATTTAAGCAATAGGGAAATGCATAAAGAGGTAAATCCAGTATTTGAAGATTTTTAATCCATTCCTTGTGCTTTCTTTTGAAGAACTTGCCTTCATTATTCCTTTGGCATTCTCCACAATGCACCTTGCTCTGCACTCAGGTAATCCCAGCTCCTTGTTCGACGATATCTCTATGATCTCGCTCTCCTCCATGTTAGCAACGAAGTTGATATCAAATCCTCCAAATGATTCTCTATAATATATACGTCATAATGAATAATACAAGTATAATGGTCAGATTAATTTTTCTAAGTAAATAAAAAAGATATATAACAAAAAACTTATGTATGAAAAGGAGCGTTTACCTCAGTTGGCCTCTTTTTTTCAGAATGTCAGTCCAATTGTGATCCATCAACATACCAGACATGGAGAGCAGCTCAAACAATTGACTATGAACAAAACATTAGTACATTTTCTCAAATATACTTTTAGATTAAATGATGTAAATTCCTATTATATAAACTAAAAGTGAAATATATATGTTCAAATACATAGTTCGTTGGTACGTACTTGTCATCATATACCGGTACTCCCCATTGTTCGTCATGGAAGGTTACATACGCGTTATCTGTTCGAACCCCAATAGACAAGAAAAAGAGAGCATTGCTTTAATTTATTCCTCTTTTACATATATAAGATAATCAAGGTCTTTGAAGAAAATGTTCTCTCTTTGTGATGTGATCAACTAGGGTTATTAGGCATTTAGGCCTGAATTTAACATAAAGGCCTCGATTTTCTCCTTATTCAAAGTGTTCTATTCTAAATTTTTAAGGTCAGGTGTGATCTGGTCTAGTCACAATTATTATTTATATAATTTTGTCTGATCTACTCTTTTTTGGGTGTGGTTGCGTTTAATTTGAATTAAACAAGAATAAGTAATAATTAAGAAGAATAAAGGGAAGAAAACAAAGGTTTAATATAAAGGTTTAATCCACACTTAATACGCAGAAAAAACCTAGAGCTAGCTAAAAACTTGATTCAATTCAATGCGCTCACTTAACTATATGGGCACAAGTCGAGCTTGAACTTGGTCTAGTTGAAGTAGCTCAATTAGCTAATTGGCTTCATGTATCATTGTCACAATATATGAAGTTGGTATAACATATATGCGAAGCTTCTGGGTGGTATTCATCATATCATACAAAATTAAATCTTAAAATTAATGATAACATAATTACTAGACAAGTAATTGATGATCAACTTAACAAACTCATCAAAACAGTACAATAGAATGCTTAAACTTAATGTAACTGGAGGTCTAAGATAATATTAATCATGTATTTATAAAAAGTGAAAGCATGCATTACTGTAAAAGAAGTTCCAATAGCCAGTTTTAAACAAGAAAAGTACGAAAATTATATTCCAACTACCACTATTTTGTTCAATTAAGTGTAAATATATATTTATCACAAGTTGAAATAAGATATAATCTTCTTACCACTATTTTTGGTTATCCAATGGCATCTCTTGACCTCACCATTATCATCACAAGGCTTCTTAGGACTAGACAATTGTTCAACCTTAGCACTAGCCACCACTGGAACGTCTTTCTTTTCAGGAGAGGTTGCCGTAACCTTTCGAAGTGATTCGAGTGATAACAAAATCTTTTGATCCAAAGGACATGAGTAATCCGTAAGGGAAGAATCCGTTGAGGTTTGAGACAATGATAATGAGATCGACGACACCGATAGTGAAGAGTTGCTCCTATGGATCCCAAGTGGATAGACCTTCTTGAAGTTTTTGAAGAAACTATTGTTATTTTGGTTTGGATTCTCTTTTGCCTTAAACCACCCTATTTTGCTACTCTTCTCTAGAACATTTTTCCTTACATTTCCTCGTGACATTTTTTTGTTACTTTTTTTTTTTTTTGACTCAATAATATTACAAAATGTATAAAATTTAACAAAGAAATAAAGACATTATAGAAAATAAATAAATATAGTTATATAACTTAGATTGGTTGTGATTTATAAAATATTTGCTTTTGTAACGGAAGGGGTCTTTATAAGAAAATTTGGCTACAAATTTGGTTGGTGAAGTGTGAGTTTCATTACATAGCCTTAAATTACTAATTTTTTCATCTTGGTTCACAAGCAAATAATCTAACTAGTGGGATGTATTAGTGCTTAACAAAATTTATTTTATATAGATTAGATGCTAATCATGATATTATATAATATATCTTTCACTTTTAATTAATTTGGTCCACCCTACCTAATTAGGAAATAAATTATAATAAAATAAAATGATTAAAGGTTGATGCTTAGATCATATATGCACTTATATTGCTATATCAAAGTTTTGACATCTAGCTAGCTACTATCATAATGAATGTAGAACGCATGAAATTTTCTTACATAAGTATTTAGTTTATTATTACTAATCTTTTTAATTAATTATATTTAAGCATATGGTATGAAAAGGGTCAATAAATCAAAATAAGGTGGTTGGAACATAGTTGTTATCGTTTTATTGGAATGATAATGATATATTATTTTATTTTCAGATATTCTTTATGATCATTCTTGTGAAACATCCATATATAGGTATTAGATTCCAATAATGCTTGATTTAGTAACTAGGAGTATTAGTTAGTAGATCTTTTTCAATTTAATTAATTCTGAGTAGTTTGTTTTAGTATTATTATAGCTTGTGGTGGCATTTATTATTTGGATTCACATACACAGTGGCAAGAACCCTAGATAGTCTATTTGTTTCTAGAACTTCAATTTTGAGCATTTCGATGAGAAAATAGGGGACAAATGAGTTAGGGCTGGTTGGCCAGAAACTAGTTTATATGACACTTTGAAGAAAATTTCTCTTACACATTCGCAATCTGATCCCTTTATATTGTTTTGGTGTTTCTTCATACAACTTTCTTCAACAAAAGTGGTAAAACCATCTCGAATAAAAAAATTTTTAGTGAGATTTATATAATATCTTAGACAATAGCTGGAGAAATCGATCATATCCGATCCATTGCAAACATATAAAGTCTACAATAAACAAATCTATCCAATAATAAAAAAGATCATTAACATAATTAAAACCTACTTCCTCCATTTTTTTAGTTTTTTTAGTTTACACGTTTCTTTTGTCACATTTGTCAATGCACAACTTCAACTATTCATATCTCTAATGATCGATAAGCAAAAATTATGAAAATTTGATATTTTGAAAATATATATCGTGACGAATCTAATAAGATCCACATGACTATATTTTTTATTATGTATAAAGCATAAATCACGGTCAAATAAGAGTGTGAATAGTGATAAAGTCAAAACGTGTCAACTTAAAAAAACGGAGGTAGTTTTTTTTTAAAAAAAAAAAAAAAAAAAAAAAAAAAGTCAAGTGGTAGTTTGCTTTTAATTAACGAGAATTTATTCTTTGCCGACATAACCAAAGTCTTGACAAGACTTAATTAGTCACTTTACCAACGTACAACTATATGGGAACGAACATTAATTCTTTGATTAAGATTAATAATCGCATAATAATGATTAGCAAGTAGTAACGTTATTAACTGTTCCCAATTTTCAGGTCCGATGGTTGCTTCATGGTAAGTTAAACTGTTAGAATTAAAGATTTCATTAACGGGGTCCACTAAAAACTTGGGTATTACTCTTATCTTGGAGATTTGAGGCAAACCTTTTGCCCGAATGAGACAAAGATATTCCATCTTTTAAACATTCTAATTTCCTCACATTTTTTAGGTTTTACTGCTTTTTCATCTTCAACCAACTTAATTAGCTTAGTTTTTTGATTGTCACAAACTTGTTCTTTTTCATGAAGCGTGAAACTTGGGATTTAGATCATGGATTAGTGCGCATACCTTTGAAATTAGTTGTCACATTTTTATACTTTTGAGGATAAGAAAATGATATGCTTTTACTCTTTTCGTTTTTAAATACTTGCTCCAATTCTTGGGCACGTATGCCGATGCTAATCTTTGATCAATAATATATTTAATTATCAATAAGTATAAATTCTAATAATTGAAAATTAATAATCTATTCATTGAGACGATTCCAACAATTACCTACATTACTATTCTTTTTTATTTATTTATTTATTATTTTTTTTTTATGTATAAATCACAAACATTGATCAAATTAAAGTAGGACAAATGAACAGTGCAAAAAGTAGAAATGGAGCAAATATTTAAAAATGGAGGGAGTACTGTTTTAGAATAAATGTTACACTTTTCTAAGACTAGGATCGGAGCAACTCCAATGGTTGTAGTTATGGACTTGCTTGCAATTTTCAAAAGTCCCTAACTATTAGCTTGATCATTGAAGCTAAAGAAATACAATTAGCTTGCCCAAGCTAATTTGCTTGAGAAAATATTTTCCAATATTTTATAAATTAATATATTAATATAATTAAAAAATTTAAGCTAATTGAGAAAGTTAAGCTCACTTAATTAGAAAGCCATTAGATAGCTAACCATTGGGGCACAAAATAGCTATAAAGAGAGTTAGCTTAAAATCCTAGCTATGTGGCATTCCAAACTTATTTGACAATTAGCTTACCATTAGAAATGTTCGTAACACTATGAAAGCATAAAAGGAAATAAGCAGATAAAGTGGAATGTTGTAAAAATAAAACAAAAAAAAATGTATATATGACTTGTTCTCATTAGCTTATCGAGTAATTACAAAACTTACGACTGGGTTTTTTGTATTTTTTTTTTAAATATAAGGTCATATTAGACCAAACCAGGTTATATCATACTCCGTAAACTTTTAAATTTAGTTTAAACTATCTTTAATTGAGTATGAATATAACTTATGGTAAGAAAATTATATAGTCAAAAAATACACAATACAACGAATATAGCAAGATCTTATTTGACTATGTTTTCTTCATACATTAGTGCAAAAATAAGATAAAAGTTTAATCAACCATTACATTAGACAAGGCCAAGTAAAAACTTATTAAAATCATACCAAAATACCTTATTTTGGTGAAGAGAGCAAGTTCAATACTACATTCATTTTCATTTGATCTTAACATTTATTATTTGAGTGGATTAAAAAATTAGTGAGTGGGAGTAAGAAAAAGGTATTAAAAAAGTAAAATTGTAAGAGAGACAATGTTTAAAAGTGGGTGAGTGTAAAAAAAATGTGGATAAAGCTTGAAAATGTGAAAATATTATTGGCTAAAAGGAAAATGAAAGAGTTAGTTAAAATAGAATAAAGTAAAATAATTAAGAGATTCTGAAAACATGCCAAAAAGGAAAGGTACTATGATCATTTACTATGGTAATCGAGGTAAAAATATATAAATAAATATATATATATATATATATATATATATATATATATATATATATATATATATATAGAGGAAGGCTCATGTAAGAACCCTCCTCTATATAAGAACCCAATCTTATATAAGAACCAATCTCAGCCGTTTATTAGTTTTGATCCAACAATCTAAAATGATCATTTAGTAATGGCATTTCTGTAATTCTTCTTTTATGTTCTAATTTTTTTTTTTTTTGCCCACTCCTATGTTCTAAATTTGGTCTGCTTATGTTCTAATTTTTTTTCCTATGTTCTAAATTTAGTCTACTTATGTTTTAAAGTTTTTTTTCTATGTTCTAAATTTTTTCTACGTATGTTCTAAAGTTTTTTTTTTTTTTTCTTATGTTCTAAATATTCTTTTACCTATGTTCTAAATTCTTTTGCCTATGTTCTAAATTCAGTCTATTTATGTTCTAAAGATTTTTTTTTTCCTATGTTCTAAACTTTTACTACCTATGTTCTAAAGTTTTTTTTTTCCTACGTTCTAAATATTCGTTTACATATGTTATATTTTTTTTTTCCTATGTTCTAAATTTAGTCTACTTATGTTCTAAAGTTTTTTTTTTCCTATGTTCTAAATTTAGTCTACTTATTTTCTGCTCATATAACTTAGTGCTAATTTAATTTGTTTTATTGGATTTTTTTTTTTAAAAAAAAAAACATTTGAAGTTTTTTTAGTTATTTATAAAGATAACCTATGTAGGAATTGAACCTACATCCTCTATGCATTTGCATAGTGCTCTTCCAATTGAGCTAATAGGTTTTATCATATGTTCTAAATATTATTTGAAAATGTTCTAAATATATGTATGTTCTAAACTATTTCCTATGTTCTACATTTTATTGTTTATGTTCTAAATTTTTCTGTCCATGTTCTAAATATATATCCTATATTCATATTTTTTTGTCTATGTTCTAAATTTATTTCCTATGTTCTAAACCTATGTTCTAAATTTTTTCCGTATGCTCTAAATTTTATCCTATGCTCTAAATTTTTTCTACCTATTTTCTAATTTTTTTTCCATACGTTCTAAATTTTTTCTATCTATGTTCTAAACTTTATCATATGTTCTAAATTTTTTCACCCTATGTTCTAAATTTTTAGTATATGTTCTAAACTTATTTTCTATGCTCTTATTTTTTTTTCCCAATATTCTAAATTTCCATTTTTTTTCCTATGATCTAATTTTTTTTCCCAATGTTCTAATTTTCTATGTTCTAAATTTTTACTAGGTTGCAAATCATTTTCTTATGTTCCAAATTTTTCCTATGTTCTAAAGTTGTTCGTATATTCTACACCTATGTTCTAGCTATGTTCTAAATTTTTTCTATATATGTTCTAAAATTTTCTCTCTATGTTCTAATTTTTTTGACTATGTTTTAAATATTTTTAATTTGGCCTATGTTCTAGTATTTTTTTTCCTATGTTCTAAATATATTCTGCCTATGTTCTAATATTTTTTTTTTCCTACGTTCTGTTCTAGATTAGTTTTCATACGTTCTAAATATTTCTGCCTATGTTTTAAATTCCTATGTTCTAAATTTTTTATTATGTTCTAAATTTTTTTAAATATGTTCTAAATTCCTATGTTCTAAAATTTTTTATATGTTCTAATTTTTTTTTATATATTCTAAATTTTTCTATATGTTCTAAACCCTATGTTCTAAAATTTATTCCTATGTTTAAGTTTTTTTTTTTTGCTTACGTTCTAATTTTTTATTCCAATGTTCTAAATTTAGTCTACTTATTTTCTAATTTTTTTTTTGCCTACTCCTATGTTC